CTTAAATGCATCTTTATTGAGATATAATTCAAATGAATATGAAATCTAATTTAAATGTATATTTTAATGGTTTTGTTATTCACAGAATTCTGCAACCATCATCACGATCTAAGTTTAAAACATTTAAATAAAAAGACACTTTAATACATTGACATTTGTGTACATATAAACCATGCACGTGTGTATTGTTTTAGTGAATACTAAAATGAACCTAAGGAACTAAGCTCCTTGTACATCTGTCCGTTGCTCCAGAGAGGAGCTGAGGATTCTCTTTGCCCCCTCAGAGGTAGCTGGAGTGAGCTGCTCTCTTCTCCAGCTACGACACTTCCTGACTGTAGGTAGCACTTGGCTGCTAGCTATGCTTGACCTAGTCTTGGTCGGTGGAGTTTGTAGTTTCTCAATGTTCATTCTTGTCTGGTTGCAACTCCTAATCTGCTTTTGAGGCAGTCACAGAACACTAGATAATGATTTTACCTCCCACTAGCATGGATTAGGTTCAAAATGGTTGTCTACAGGAAAGATCTATGTGCTCCTTATCTTTTTCTGTATTCTAAATCCTAAATCCCTTCAGCAACTTCTGCTTCCAAAGTGTGGCTTTTGCTTTGGTCTCTCTCTCTCCCCACAATTCCCACCCTTCTCTTGGACTCTTTAGGAACTCTAGTTGCCACTCTTGGAAGGGCATCTGAGATTAACTGTATTTGATGAGCTGTTATTATTTTAGTGACTAGACATAGAGCCAAAGAAGTATATTTTCAGATGCAAATAGTTTGTTCCTTCCCAAGTGCTTCACTCCAGAGGGTCACAGCCACCAACCATAGCCCATGTGGAAGCCTTCATGGATTAAGACAGTAAATGTGTTCATCAGGAAAGAAGGAAGAGAATGGGAATGTTATTTTATTGGAAACCCCAAATGATTTAAAAATAAATTTAAGGAAAATACAGCTCCCTAAGGTAAACTTTCCTGTGAAAAGGCAAACATCATAAAAATGTGGTCTCTGTTTCAGGTATTCTGGAAACAAATGCACTTTCAGGGTTGGGAGAGCTAGCCCAAGCATCAACAGAATTAAGGGCTGAATCCTGTGTTTGAGGCTTATGTGGCACTTTCCTTCCTCTCTCAAATAGTTTTTTCTGTCTTACGGAACTTTTAAGGTTGGAATTTTGACCCTGATAAATGACTAACTGGTGCTTCCACTAACATGTATTTAAGTAACTTAGAATTTGCAAATGTTAGACAAAAGCCTAGAGGTTTGCCCTTTTCTTGCCTATAGGGACAAACTGATGGTTCAACTAAATCATGTAGGGAATTTTGATAACAGAAAATTACAGCCTAATCAGAGCTCTTCCACAATTTTTGAGCCCTCACCATGACTGGGGATAGAATGAGCCTGCTCTAAACTCATAAAGACAGTGTCTCTCGAGTAGAGACAACTATTAAGTAGCTATGGTATAGCCTAACTATGCTAGACAAGTATTGAGGCCTGGGAAAGTTCATGGCAGAGAAAGTAACATCTCCATGGCAACTATCACTCTCATGTCATTCTCAGAAGTAGTGATTATTTACTTCACTGCTTAATTCTTGGATCAACGGACACCACTACAGAATTCAAACTGAGAAGCTCTTTCCCAAACTCAGGAAAGTGCAAAACAGAAATGCTCCCTCAACAACAAAATTGAATTGCATATCTAAACAAAAGCAAACTGACATTTTTTCTCAGTTTTCTTTGTTCTCTACCACGTTGGCACTGGTACCTACTCTGATGGTAAGATTTTCATTTTTAAAAAGTAAAACATCTACAATTCTTTTCTATTATTAATATATACTGTCTTTTCTGAGTGATGAATTCAGACAAGTAAAGTATCCCTGTCTTTATTTTCCATCATGGTCGGTCATAAATCCTGGAAGCTAGAAGTGATAATGTGGTTTGGCTTTGGGTAATTGTGCTGGCTAGAGCTCTAGATGTTCATGTCTCCAGTTTTATTGTGTTGGGAAGACAGACAGCTCTTCCAAGTTGCTGATGGAGATGCTGGCGGTGGCCCAGCTCTCTTGGGTGATGATATGTGGATTGCTTACTCTCAGGGATTGCTTTCTTTTGGCCAGAAATTTCCTTCATGGCAGTGTGTCCATCACTTGGAAGGTCATGAACAAAATAGCAGTATTCCTCTTCTCTCCAGCAGTTACTGGGAGGGTAGGAGTAGGAGGGGTGGGAATGAGCACACTGAATTTAAGAGCATAAAAGAAAACAAGTGAGTCATCCTAAACGCATACACATGAGTTCAATCTCCTTCACTCCCTTCTTCACTCCTTTCCACATGCACTCAACAAACATCTTATATGCCCAGAACTACGCTGGACATCATGAAAGTCCTAAAGGAGTTCACAGTACGGCACAGGAAGTACTAATATAAAGACAAATTTAGAGACAAGTGTCAGTTTTGATGGGGGTATGTTTAGGGTCACATTAGCTGCTATAATAATAAACTTCAAATATTCAATGACTTAATGCAATAGAAGTTATTTCTCAGATAGCAATGTAAAGCAGATGTTCCTTATCTTCCGGAGGCTTCTCTCTGTGTAGTGATAAAGGATTCAGGCTTCTCTCTTAGGGGGTGACCTTTCTCTTGTGTAAAATCATTTCTGGCCCTTAGAGGTAGTGAAGAGGGCATGTAAGCCACTTCCCAGAAACTCTACTTTTGTTCATTTTCCATGGGTGAAAACTTGTCACATGACCCCAGCTAGAGGCAAAGGATGCTGGAAAACGCAGTCTCTGATCAGGTAGCTGTATTCCACAGTAATGGAATAGAAGGAACTAGAAGAACAGTAAGCCATGAGGAAAACGATATCTCTCTGTCTCTCTGTCTCTCTCTGTCTCTCTCTCTCTCTCATTCTCTTTTTTCTCTCTGTCTCCCTAGCCCTACCCCCAAATAATATTTTAGATGCTAATGAAACACTGAGTAGGGAAAACACCTGGTGGAAACACAGAGATAAGTTAGAAAGGACATCAAAATTTGTGAGTCCAAAGATTGAAATACAAGCAGGCCCAACCTTTTAATTAAGAAAACATGATAGTGTTTATGTCACGTCTCATTTTCAAATCTTCCATGACAGTGTAATTTGGCTCATTTTCTCTTTTTTTCTTGAAGGGATCATAAAAATTAAATCTAAAACAAATTCAGTTCTTCAGCTAGCAGGTTTGGTTGCCCTTCATGATACCTAATTTACAAAGCTCCATTTAATGGGGACCATCTTCCAGTCTGGGAAATGAGCCACTACCTTGGAAGTCAGGTTTGTTAGCTTTTTTTTTTTTTTGCCTGAATCCCCTCCATTTTTCTCACAGCCTCAGTGAGCACAGTTTCTTTTCATCCTAATGTGGTAGAGAATAAGATGAAAGGAAAATTTCCTTAATTCAATAGTGAAACTTTCCAGTTGTGAAGCACTTTGAAATACAACTAATTAATAAACACAACTCTCTTCCAAGGCAGTAAGGATTGCTCTTCTCATTTTTCACAGCTGAGAAGGCTGCAGTTAAAATAGGTTGCCCCGGGCTGCACACCTCATCTGTGGAAGAACTTTGAGGCACCAGCCCTGAATTCTCGCAGGATGGCATGTTGCCTCTCTGGAGAGTAATCGGCTTTTATACGGGTTATAGCTAACAGTGACTTCCTCAATGACTCCAGAGTGCCCCTGGCACCAGCTAGGCAATTAGTAATGTTCTTGTCACCGACTCTGAGTAACCCATTAAAGAGAATAAAGAAAAAGTGACTTACTGGATAGCCCTATCTCTCACAAATGCTTCTGGAGACTGGAGAAATGGTTTTGCAATCACAAAACTATTTAGTATGTACTAAACTGGGAATCAAAGATGAAAAGCATTGTTCATATCCGCATGACATTAAGACTTCCAGACCACAATTATCATTGTCATTTCACTGAGAAATTGAGGCCCAGAGTTTGTTGCTCCCAATGGTAATCATGATTGGGTTCCATCCGACTGTCATGATTTTGTCTTGGATCAACAATGAATCTGCTTGTAGATAAATAGCTCTTTTGGCAGCTATTTCAGTGAGAAAAGCTATTACGAGTAGTATTATGTGCGAGAACTTATCTTGACCATATCTTTTGTGATGGAATTGGTTCAGAATTGTTTCACACAAAGGCTCAATAGCTATGCACATATGATCATATAAAATAATCTCCATCGAAATGAACCCCAAGAAATAGACATAAGAAGTTTTTTTTCTCTTTGTTGCTATTTTTGCTTTCTTTACCTTTTGTCTTGTTAGTTTATCTGTCTCTGGAAGGGAGAGGGGGGACACAGAAAGAGCAGGACAAAGGGTGAACAAACACAGTAGTGATACTAGACACTATGTTGAAAGCGAACTATACAACTTGTGGGTAAGGACCAGAGGAAAACTGGGATAGAGCAAGAGAAGCAGTGTCACTGTTCAAAAAGACAGGTACTCATTACCTGACTTATGTAACTATAGCCCCTCCGTCCATCACCTCCACAATAACTATTGTATATATAATATATAATAATATAGTACAATATATAATAACACATATAATACATATAATAATATACAATACATATAATAATACATACTGAAGAGTTGCCAATTACTCCTAGTAGTAATGGAATCCACGGCCACCCTATGAAGCCCAAAATGCTTTTAGTATACCCACAGTAAAAATTTATTTTACCAGGGCTGTATCATAATTTAGTTATGTGGTATAGGACTTGTCATTATAAACATTGAAAGTTGCCAAGGACAAGAGAAGTCCCAAAGAGAAAACATTGATCTTAGAATCTTTGCCTCCATTCTTGAAGTGCATCCTGTTTATGTTACTGAGGGATTGATAGCAATTAATAAATCCAGCCAGGACACTCTGAGTTCTATTTTATTTGTGATTATAGTGAGATTTGATGCTGATATTACAACATTGCACTCTTTGGTATGAGAATGGTTACATCTTGCAATGTGACTTCTATAACATATACATGACCTATATAATACACAGCATACTTGAAAGACCATATGAAAGCAGATTGAAAAATATTTTATTATTTTTATATTCATTACATGTTGCAATAATAATGCTTTGGAAATCCTGGGTAAATTATATTGTGCTTTACAAAGCCACTATTAGAACATTTTAAATTCTGTGTGAGGTTCACACATTACTACTGAAAAATAGTCACAGAATGTCAACCTTTGTAAGAATTTCTTAAATATGAAAGCATATTCAATTACTCAGACCCAAAGACTATCAGAAAAATCAACTGTTAGCTTTCCTCACAACAAATGGTATTCAAGTGAAATGGTATTTTCTGACTTGAATAATTAGTCTGTAATGTGTTTTTGCTTCTTCTAGCATTAGAAAAATATGGTAAGGAAAATGGTCTTCCTTTTCTACTTTTTTTTCAGTACTAGTTAATCAAAGAACTCAGTCTCTGTGCCTGCTCGACAAATTCTCACTGAACACATTCCTAGCCAGGAAAACATTTCTCTTATCTTTCTCTTCAGGTTACTGATACATGTCCTCCAGGACAGAACTACCTCACTGCCTCTTGAAAGCCTTCCCCACTACCATATTACTTCAGACTGTCTCCATGTCTGGGGGCCTGGAGCTACAGTAGGTGCTCCGATCGTATGCCATAGCAAAAGTATACTTAACATCTTACTGTTCCTTTCACTTCCTTTTGTCTAGAAACTCTGCACATTTTTATTTTTTATTTTTGTTGTTATTATTACTACTATTATTTGGGTATATGTCAGGCCTGGGGCTTGAACTCAGGGCCTGAGTGATGTTCCTAAGCTTTTATACTCAAGGGTAGAGTTCTACCACTTGAGCCACGACTCTATTTTCAGATTTTTGGTAGTTAATTAGATAAGAGTTTCATGAGCTTTTATGCCTTCGCTACTTTGAATCTGAATGGTCAGATCTCAGCCTCCTGAGTAGCTAGGATTACAAGTGTGAGCCACCAGCAATAGGCTATTTCTATTAATTTTAGAAAATTTCCTGTATCTAGTACAATGTTAGAAACCTTTCATAGTTAATTAAAATGTAATGAATAAAAATAATTCTTTAACCAACATTGTTGTTTCAGAACTAATAGTAGTGTACATTTGATTGGCACTTTGTGAAAGTCGTATTAGTTGCCGTACAAGAGGTTTGGTGGACCATTCTTCCACATTAAAGACACCACATATGATTTAAATATTTTTGAAATACTCTATCTTATGTATCACAATTCTTTAGCCATTCTCCTCAAGAATATTGTGATAGTAACATTGATGACCATGGATTGCTATTAGAAAGTAAAAATAATAATAAGCAAATCACTTGTATTTATATAGCACAAGCCAACCAACTTTGTAGTGGAAAGGGTACTAGTGATTTACATGGAGCATTTGTTGGGAGTTGAGAAAGTACCTATAGAAAAAATTAATGTCTAGGCTTTACATAATCTATTGTCCATCCTAAGACAACCTAAGAGGTTTTGATGGACAGGAAGGAAAGAATCCTGATGTGTAACAGAAGACCCAGGAGTTAGGCCCAGCTGCCCAAGATCCCCTCTTTTCCCATGGCCACCTCCAAGTGGACAAAACCTATGAAAAGCCCAAGTGGCACTACCTCATGAACTTCAAATGGCTTGTCACTTGTCACTTGTGGCTTGTCAACTGGCTGTCTGCTCACTCAAAAAAGTCTGAGAGAATTCTGTCTTCTCCATGGTGAAGAGTTTCAGCTTAATAATGCCACAGATCTGTTTCACTGGACTAGCTCTGGAAGAAAACTAGTCACTCTGCTTTCTTGATCAATGCATTCAATTAAACCTAGTGTATTATTATTATTGTCTTCTTTTGAGGGAAGTAAGAAATGGCAACATTAAGAAGACACATGTTGAAAATGAACTTTGCAACTTGGGGGGGCGAGGGAAGGGAGGAGTTGGGAAGATGGAGAGGTAAGGGATGGTAGGGGAAAAAACAAAGGAGGAGGTAACAATCCTAGATAGGAAATGTACTCATTACTCATGTAACTGTAACCCCTCTGTACAGTATTTTTACAATTAAAAAAACATAAAGAAAGAATTTGCCCAATTGTTCGCTTTGTAATTTCGTATTGTATATGGGATTTTTTAAGGTTAAGCTAAACATTTTTAAATGCATAGTCACAAATGAAAGAAACAAGAGTATAATGATTTCCTGAAAACTGCAATGTTGAATTCAGAGGCAGTTTCAGAAGATACATTGGTGGTGATTACTCACTGGGCTTTTTTTAGTAGGCAATAACTCCAAAGAAGCAACCTGCGGATATGCCCAACCTTCCCCCATTTAAGTTTAGAATAAGCCCCAAGTCAAACAGTGAAAATGTATATAGCACTACTGGTTCCTTCATGGTTTAATTATATCAAGATAAATAAATTTTACTTACTTTTGTGTAGGCAAACTATCCATTTTTGTCCATTTTACTGTTTGTTAGAATAACATCCCTCTCCTGCATATTCTTTGCTTGACCCCAACTGACATATTAACCTAAGGTCAAGAGGAGGAGAGAGAAATGACTGAAATGAATGTCTTTACTAAAATACCAATAAATTTTGTCACACTCAAGGGAAAAAAATTTTCCCAAGGAGAGAACCATGGTGGGGATCTTGGAGACAACAGTCTAGAGAATCTTCCACTGCACCACACTGCATGGAAACCCCTCAGGAAGATCTCCCTGGCTTCCTTTACTTTATGATACAAGCCCAAATGTTTCCAGAGACACGATGTGTGGTCACTTTGCCTCCCATGGACATGGTTACCCTGTGCAACTCCGTGGGCTTCTTCTCCTTGAGTCAACATGATTCCACAGCCCAAACAACCACAGCAAGTCTAGCAGGCGCCTGTGCTGCTGGAGCCACTATGCTGCCCAGCATTATTTAAGTTTTCATTCAAACCTCCTTTAGGGTGACTTCCATGCACCTGCAGTGCCCATTCAAGAAGATCAACAAATGGCTGAAGACAGATTTCTCAGCCAGAGGAAAGAATTATTACCTTACCATCAGTCTAATGAAAACAGAGGTGAAATACCAACCTGCGCTAGATAAACAGCACACGGAGCCATCCATCACGCTCAGCCGGGCTGAGCAGAACACCCTAACCGACTTCACCTGAATGCTGTGTCTAGCTCAGACAGGCACACACAGCATCTGGGAGCTAAGACCTTTCCCCGCAAGTTTCTGTCAAAATAAAGACCTGGACAGGAATCCTTTAAGCCCTTCCTTTTCCCAATCTAAATTTCTTTTTCTCTCTCTGGCCACAGATAGCAGTAGCTTCTTACTGGCTTATATTTCACCTGCATGCTTTGTTAACTCTTTTTCCTGTTCTGTGTGGTTTCTCCCTTTGGATCTAGTCATCACCACACCGCTGGTGGCAGCTCTTTCTCAAGACCTCCTCATTGATTCTTTGCATATCCATTCACCTAACAGAAATGCCTACCTGATCACTCTGGGCATGGTGCACAAAGTAACTGTGCAAAGCCTAGGGGAGAAGATAGAAATCTCAAATAAGAAAAGACCTTTCCATGGCTTTACACATAGATCATCACCCATTTTGCTTTCACAGTATTCTGTGTGGTGGTAGTGTGTGTGTGTGGGGGAGACACTATTAAAACTCATTTCAAAACAAGAAGCCATGACTTGGGTAGGTGTCATTAAAGTCATAGAAGAAAACTAGGACCTTGCGTATTCTTTTAACATGTGATTATACTGAGGTTTACTAACTCAATTTGCTGATTTCCTTTCACCCTATCAGACTTCTTTGGTCCTGTTTTCAGATTTCTCCTTTGTCTCAGAAATCTTAAAACCAAATCTTGTGTAAGATCTACCAAGTTAGTTGCAATAGAAGACTCCCTACCTGACTATCCTCTTCTTTTTTTTTTTTTCTTTTAGAAGTCAGTACATTGATGGGCTCAGGGAATCTAGGCAGCTTGTAACATGCGTACTGAACTATAATAGAAGCTTTTAGGTGTGGCTATCACCAAACCGAGTGTCTGGGATAAATAAAAGCAAGTGGTTACTGTTAAGATCCAGGTGGATTTTTTTTTTGGGGGGGGGGTGTTAGGGATTCTCAATCCATGCATTCTGAAATCTATGCTCAGTGATCTGTTCCATCCAGCAGCAGTGATTCTGGCAGACAAAGTGACATTCCTGCTTCTGACAGTGTAAGTAGATGGAAACAGGTGAGAATCAGTTCTTCACACTGAGCAAACAGGAAGAACTCAATGCAACCAGGATCAGTATTGTCACGAACCATAGTCATTCATCACTCAGGGCAAAACAGTTTATTGGTGGATACAGAGTAAAGCAGTACTGTGTTCTCCACTGGTTTGTTGCTAATAGTTAACTCTAGTAAAAAGAAATTAAATAGAACATTCTAGAAACAAGCCGTTCCTATGTTTTCAATTGTGCACCCTTCTTAGTAGTGTGGTAACTTCTTGTTCTGTCTGTTGTCCATCCAGTATATGACTTAGTCCTTTGGTCGGTGTATTCACACTGTATGCATACATACATACATACCTGTTAGTCATTAGAAGTCATCTATGTCATCAGATTGACTGTCACAGTGTCACATGCTTGTGTCTAAATAAAGCTTATTTCACTCATTAAGGGTTTTAAAGCACAAGTGTGATGATGCTGACAATAGAAACATGCCAAAGGGAAGCCATGAAGTGTTTTTTTTAATGTGAAAAGGTGAACATTCTTTACTTAAAGAGAAAGAACATCAGATGTTGAGGTTGCTAAGATCTACAGCATGAATGGAGCTTTTAGCCATGAATTTGTAAAGAAAAAGAAATTCGTGATCATTTTTCCTTCCACTCAAACTGCCAAAGTTACAGTTATAGTTATATAGTAATACAGGATAAGTGTCTCACGAAGATGATTAAGGCATTAAATTTGTGTATGTATAAATAGGCTCAGTACTGTTCTCAGTATCAAATATCCACTATGGGTCTTGAAATATGCATCGGGATCACTGTTTATAAGCCATCCTTCCTCAGCAGTTTCTTATTCCTTCTATCATATGCAATCTGCATAGAAATCTCACTTGGCCCACATTGCAAAGCTTGAGCAACAAACACATCAACTGCCAATATTGATTTTTTTTTACTTTCCAATCCTACTTAGTATAAAGCACAATGAATGTTTATAAAGAAAATGTAACTATTTCAAATGTGAATTAAATGCTTTAAAAACTGTTAACACGTTCAAATGCACTGTTCTTAGTAGCAACAAAGCCAGAGAGCTGTTTTTTTGTATTTCCAACTCAACTGTACTCATAAATACTTGATTTTGTAAAGGTTCACAGTCTAAACCACCAAATACCTACCAATGTTTGGATCATTTTCCAGGAAAAAATACATTCTGACTTTCATTGTTATCATAATGATATTGACAGCACAGATCCCAAACCTGGAGTAAAATTGTTAAATTGAGGACCATATTGCTAGCCTCCTTGAGTTTTCCAAGATGAACACCTGTTGTGTTTGATTAAATCTTCCCAACAGTAAATAAAATGCAGCATCAGAAATTTTATTAACAATGGTTTGTTGAGGAACAGATTTTAAATGCTCTAACACATTATGATTTGTGTTGATGTATGCTGATTTTTGATGTAAGGATTCATAATAGAAAGAATACTGAATATTAAACAGATTTGTGCAATGCTTATGTGTGACAGGCGCTGTCATATTTAATACTTATTGTAACACCATAATGTTTTAGGATTACCAATATGCAAATGAAGAAAGCAGGCCCACCTAAATATTTCATATCTAGTAAATTGAAAACTACTATTTGGGCCCTATGTTTTTCAGGTTAATTCACAAGAAACCAATGGTAAAGTGAAAACATAGTCCACTTAGTCAATGTTAGCAGAATGTACCTTCTTGAGGGTGGAGTATGACTTTTCTCCCAGCCATGATGCCTTATCACTGTTCATTTCTGTGATAGAATATCTGAAAGAGGGGCTGGGAAGGTGGCTCAGTGGTAGAGCGCTTGCCTTGCATGCCTGAGGCCCTGGGTTCAATTCCTCAGCACCACATAAGCAAAAAGAAAAAAAGCCAGAAGTGGCGCTGTGGCTCAGGTGGTAGAGCGTTAGCCTTGAGCTGAAGAGCTAAGGGACATCGCCTAGGCCCAGAGTTCAGACCCCATGACGGGACCCCCCCCCAAAAAAAAAATATCTGAAAGAGACCAATGTGAGGGGAGAAGGATTTATTTTGACTTATAGCTTTAGTCCATGGTCATGTGGCCTGTGCTCCTGAACCCGCACATGGTAAGGCCAAATACCATGGTAGGAGCATGTAGTACAGAAAGTGGGTAGAGCAAGTGGCTTACCTCTATAAACTTTGGATTGAGGATCACACCGTCAACACATGAGATTCATATTGAGACCCTAACACACAGCAACACTTTCTGGCATATTATTTGGCAAGCTGTAGTCTCAGTAATCTGAAAAGAGAGGCATGGATGGTATTGGAGGATATCCTATGCAGCTTGTGTTAAAATCATGACATTGCAAGTTATTCCCCTTCGTCCAAACACACACATACACAGCACTCTACTCCGTTCTGGTAATAGAGGTACCCACTTTCTCAGATAATTCTAAACAAATTGCAGAAAACTGCCTTTCTGATTACTTATTTTGTGTTGCAGTGCAGCTCACTCAAGGTTGCACACTATCTCTAGCTTGGGCTTTGCTAGAGTAGATATGTTTTACAAATTCATATCTTAATATATGAATGAAGATGACCTTAAAAAAAAGCTGGAGGGGCTGGGAAGGTGGCTCAGTGGTAGAGCGCTTGCCTTGCATGCTCGAGGCCCTGGGTTCGATTCCTCAGCACCACATAAGCAAAAAGAAAAAAAGCCGGAATTAGTGCTGTGGCTCAAGTGGTAGAGCGCTAGCCTTGAGCTGAAGAGCTGAGGGACAGCGCCCAGGCCCAGAGTTCAGGCCCCACGACCGGACCCAAAAAAAAAAAAAAAAAGCTGGAGATGATGAAAAACCATGGTTAAAAAATGTTTTGAGAAATACAAATGCAAATAAAGTTCAACTGTCATTAAGACTATCAAAGATTACCCCACGCTGGTCTGGATAGAACTGCAGGACGCCATGTTCTTCACGACTTTGTGCTATCCCCTCTTCTTTTTCTGAAGTCATTTTTCCCATAGGATAAGGAAACATTTTGTCTCCTTCTATTAGACTTTTACTTAAACAATCTGCTGTTCTGTTTAGAGATCAATCACTTGTCCTCTTTTTAAGTTTCAGAAAGACATCCCGCTGTCATCCCCAAGGACCATCTGCCATTCATTTCCATCGCTTCTATCCTGTACACTTAGTGGAGGAATGAACTTTTAAGTAATCATTGTTTTCCTGAAACTGTGACTAATCTCATTAGCATGTCACCCACCATGGCTGGTTCATGAAATGTGAAATGATAAGAAAAGCTGAGGTTTTGGACTTTTCTTCTGTGGTTATGAAACTTGGATGTAATCCAGCTGTCAGGTCAAAGACAAACTTCACCTGTACTGTTTCAGATCCATCATGCATGGGAAATGGAAAGATAAGGTTACACCCAGTGAGGTGCTGAAACATGGGAAATGGAACCGACCCGAGGGCCATGTTAATTAAAGCAGAGCTCTGCCAAGCAGAGCTTATCAACCGAAAGGACCGTGGACTCCTCAAATGTGCACAGTTCAAGATCAAACCCAGCAAGCCCTTGCCTGTGGCTGACAGTCACTTGGAGGACCCATTTGAGGCACAACCTGAACTTTGTTGGCACTCGTCCAAATGCCTACAGTGGACTTTGATCATGTAGTTCTAAGTGTCCTAGGATTTTAGACCAAATTGAGGCTCAACTACCTTCACTATGACAAAGAGAGAGATTAGAGGAAAGCCCAAATTTTCAACCCCATACCAGCACTGTCTTGAGATATAGTCAATGCCTCAGAAACTTTCTTTGAACCACAGATCAGAGCAGAAGCACCATCATCTGTCTCATTGTGGCTTCTAAGATATTATGTCTTTTCACATTTCTCCTGTGTTATTAAGCACATAGGCATAGTAGCTTTATGTATAGTATCACTTATTTTTCTAGTACATTTGTATTCTTTAGGCCATATTTTGAGCTATGCCGGTCATAGAATTTTAATATGGAGTAAACATAATAAAGATTTGGACAAACAAAATGAAGATTTGTTTTTCTTTGGTATGACAGAGTTCAAACCAAATCCTAGACTGAAAAGCTGTCCTCACAATCAGTTTTATGGTTTTGATGGTTATGGTGTTGGTACAACCCTTACTTCTTGTGTACCTTGGCCTTGGGAGGTTCCATCCATAGGGTCTGTGGCTGGCTGGAAGCCAAGTGTTGAGAGAAGGGAAGCTGATGCTTGTGGTTGTGCTGATGGAGAGCGGGTGGCCTGGGGAGTCATCTCGTGTTGAGTGACACTCTGCACCTTAGCCTGGGCCAGATGTGCTACCCAGCAGGGATCTGTGAAACCACATGTCATGACCTCTGGAGTCTAGCAACACAGAGGTTTTGTAAGAAAAGAACTCCTTTCATGGAATCCCCTTGCTGGCATGCTTGATACTCACTGAGTAATTATATATGATGCTAAATATCACTTGATTAAATATTTAATTGTTAACCAAACTTGTACAGATGTTCTTTGACATACAATAAGGTTCTATCCCAATGAACATATATAAGTTGGAAACTTCAAGCCAAAAGGAGTTTTGGATGTAGCTCAGAGGTAGAGCACTTACCTAGGACAGACAAATTCTGAGTTCAATCTCTACTACTGTTTTAAAGAAGTAAAAAATGCATTAATAGATTTAATCTGCCATAGTTCAGCCTAACCTATCTCAACATACTCAGAACACATTAGCTTATATTTGGCAAAATCACCTAACCGAATGTTTATTTTATAGAGAGTATATTGCACCAAATATTATGTTGGAAAACAGATGAGAAGCATATTTTTACATCTTTATACAGATAAAAAAATTAAGTCAAACTACTTTATGATTTTGGCAGCCAAAGGACAATGGATTAGCACAACATAAAACCATAACTATTTTCTATGCTGTTGCTATTAGGTTTTCCTTACCTTCCTCTGTGAAGGTGGATTCCAGAACCAAATGTTTTATGAACTGAAGTTTCTTCTTGTTCCTTCACCTACATCCAAAGGCATCTTATGGGGTCCTATGCTCCCTCTGTGACATGAAGACTTCTGCATTTTGCATCAGATCCCACATCAGAATGGTGCTTGATTTTCTTTTTTTGGTTGGTCATGGGGCTTGAACTCTGTGCCTGGGCACTGTCTCTCAGCATTTCAGCCAGCTAGCACGCTATCACCACTGTGATAGAGCCACAGTGACACGTCCAGCTTTTTCTGTTTATGTGGTGCTGAAGAATCGAACCCAGGGCCTTATGCATGTGAGGCAAGTGCTCTACCACTGAGCCACCTTCCCAGCCAGGTGCTTGATTGTGTAGGGATCTTTTGACTATAAGCTTATGATAGGTGAATTTTGTTTCTTGTTAAATTATTGTACTATTAGAATTCACTGCAAGAACCTTTGAATCAGAAAACAGCACAGCCTAGTCTATACATGTCTTCCAGTCGAAGTACACATGTTAAATAATAAGACACCACCCTTCTTCTACCCTTTACTTCAGTGTGCCTCCTTCCTGTCCTGCCTCCTGCTTTCTACCTCTTGCTCTTTGGGCTTCAGCCATCCAGTTGGCCCCCTTAGTGTTCCTGAGGCGCAGCAGTTGGGCCTTTGTGCGTGCTGCTTCCTCAGCCTGACTGCTCTTCTCATCTGACTGCATGGCTGCCCCTTCTCGTCTACCGTCTTTGTCCAAATGCCACTATCTTAGCATGGCCTCCCTACCCCAGTCACTTCTGTTCCTTTCCTTGTTTCATGTTTCTCTTAAGTCCTTATTGCTGTACTCTAAATACATGCATACTATAGATTTCATTTTTAGCTCATTTTAGTGACTATCCCCATAACCAGAGTGTGAAGATAGAGAATTTTGGTTTGTTTTGTTCCCTACTGCATAAGAGTACAGCTGGAAGTGTTTAATATGAATTTCTGAATTAAAGAAAAATGATGAAATGAGTGAATGAATGAGAGAATTAAGGCCAGGTTCTCTATTTGTCATTTATAACCATGTCAAACATAATTTCGCACAGTAAGAAGTTTATAGTCTCTTGCAAACGACAGATATTAAGTAACTAAAATAAAAATAGATCCACAAAAACATCTGCACAACATGTTTGTAGTACTTTGTTCATACCAAAACTTGGAAACAACGGTAGATGGATAAACTGTGGTATATCCAGATAACAGACTATCTATATGACAAAAAAGAAACACAAGCTATCAAGCCATGGAAAGACACAGAGGAAATTAAAGTGCATATGACTAAGTTAGTGAAAGAAGCTACATACTGTGTCCAACTCCAGGACCCTAGGAAAAGCAGAACCATCGAGACAGTGGAAAGATCAGTGGTGTCCATGAGTTAGGGAAGAGGAGGAATAAACAGATCACCGGAAATTTTTACAATGGCAGTGAAACTGCTCTGTATGATACTATAATGGTAAATGTAGAAACCTATAGAAGGTCAACACTGAGCATGGACCCTGGGTGAAAATGATGTGATAATGTTTGTCCATCAACTGCAGTCAATGTACCGCTCTGGTGGGGGATGTTCATAAGAAGAGAGGCTTAGATATGTGTGGACAGAGGGGGATCTCTGTACTATCTGCTCTGTTTGGTGGTGAAATTAAAAATGCTCTACAAAACAGAATAAAAATAAATGCTTAATTTGTTAGCAAAATCCAAGTGTCTCCAAGATAACTAGTTTGGACATTATAAAGGTAGTATACAGGGCTGGGAAGGTGGCTCAGTGGTAGAGTGCTTGCTTTGCATGCATGAAGCCCTGGGTTCGATTCCTCAGCACCACATAAGCAGAGAAAAAAAAGCCAGAAGTGCGCTATGGCTCAAGTGGTAGAGCGCCAGCCTTGAGCTGAAGAGCTGAGGGACATTGCCTAGGACCAAGAGTGCAGGCCCCACAACAGGATCCAAAAAAAATAAATAAATAAAGGCAGTATACACACTATGAGCAAAATGCTTACTGCAGGGGCCCTGTGAAGGCCAAATCTGTGACACATCACTTGGTCCCCTGCAGAGGTGATTTATAAACCAAGTCCTGGGCTCTGTGTGAAGAACCAAGGTAAGAGAGGAGTTGGGTCTTAAGGAAGGAGAAGGACCTAAAAGAGGGAACCAAGTCTTGAAGTTTTGACAGCAGTCTCTGGAAGACTGAGCCTGGGAGGTGTTGTTGTTGTTGTTGTTGTTGTTTTTAGCAGATGGTATGATCCAAATTGGATTTTAAAAGACTTGAGAGAAGTAACACCTAAGGCTAAAATGGAGAAGTAGAACTCACTGTGCACAGACAGTCCAACCCATCCCTGTGAAAACTGGCCAACTTTGAACAAACAAAAATAGGAAGCGCATGCAGCATGCAAATGAGATAATGGCTTGGGATCATTGGAATTCCAGTAACACACTGAGCCCATCCTAACCTGGGTATCTTTTCTTGAACATCTGCCTTACTGGCAGATAGATAGATAGATAGATAGATAGATAGATAGATAGATAGATAGATAGATAGATAGATAGATAGATAGATAGATAGATTGATGGATTGATAGATATAGACATATATATAGATAGATAGATCTCTCTGTCTTTCTGTCTCTGTCTCTCTGTCTCTGTCTCTACCTTTCTTTGTTCTTTTTTTCCCATCCAGGCAAAGCTACTCACCCTTCACAAAGACAGTTGTAATTGCCTCCTCCAGAGAGCCATTTTGCAGTTCTTTCTGTCCTTGGGGAACCTTCTTTCCTTTGATCTCCTGAAGTCCTCAGGTACACAGTACACACTTCAGTTTTTGATGGTCCACCTTTCTGAATAACCTTATTACCCCAAGCAGAACATCTTCTCCTCGCTAACAAGAACAGCACACCCCATCTACCCCCACCCCACCCACACAGAAATGGGATGAGAACACATAATGTTCTCTCCACATGTGCCAATTAATTTAGGTCCAAATCACTGAGTAGACCCTGGGACCCTGCACTAGCAGAAGGACTCTTTAGAGACTCAAACTTTATAAGTGAGAATGCCTAGGTCTGTGAGGAAAGCCAGGGAAAGAACTGAAATTTATTATCTGGCTATAATTTAGTCGTGACCCTCAAGTTTTCCCTCCCTTCTAAAATAAATCAGAAAGCCTTCTAAGATGATTGGACATTTTTTACAACAAAAATAAAAAATAAAAGAAACAAAAACAGACATTTCAAAAATTCTCCTAAATTAGGCGATTGCCACCTTCGCATGACACACACACACACACACACACACACACACACACACACACACACACACACACACACACACACACACACACACACACACACACACACACCCTCTATCCATTAGCACCTAGAAAAAACAAACAGTGAATTTGGCCAACTGAATAATAGACAAATCTCATTGATGGTCAGTATTAATTCAGAAAAATGGGTGCAATACATTAAGAATGGCTCTATTTCTGGATGTGATGGGATTCTTCTCCCTTGCCTCCCCCTCCCCTTATATTGGAAATATTAAACAGATTCATGAATGATGACTTGCTTTATGAAGTGTGCCAGTGTCTTTTCATTGGCTGACAAGGAACACTCACTGGATTTATATAAAATAGTGAGCATTAATCTGCAGTTTCAAACTCTCTATCATAGTAAACTATCATTTAGGTGAAAACTTGATGATGTTTTCGTTGCCTAGAGAAGTGGCAATAAATGGATTCCACATTACTGATCCAAATCAAGAAGCTTGTCATCGATTACAGTGTACATGTCTGTAAACATGATAGTGGGCCCCTCTACCATGTGGCAATTATCCCTAGTTTACTTTGTGTTTCACTCAGGGCAAGGAGGATGCCAATCACATAGCTTCTCCTACAGGAGTGACAGCACTTCTTTTCTAGGTCCTTATGTTCAAGAGTTTATAACTTGGCTATAAAAACCAATTACAGGATGAATCTTGGCATATAAAACTCACTTCCCAGAAGAATTTTTTTTAATATAAATGAAAGGGGGAAAAAAACCTCCACATGCTTTGCCATTTGTACATTCCCATAGGCCCCAGAATGAATTAGCAAATCTTTTCCCCTAATCTTATAGAAATGAAGTACTTCTGGGCTTTTGGGTCAGTTTTTAACCGGACTTGTCTGGTAAAGGTTATCACTTAGAATAAAAAGAATTAAATTCTTTGGGGCTATAAGAAAATATTTTCCTTCGGGTGAAGGCAGCGGAGGAAGGCTGGCTCACACAAATCTCAAGTTTGAGTCCATGGCTATGTTTTCTGAGAACAAACAAGATGTAGTGCTGTGCCTATGCTTTCAGCTGCTCTTTCTTGTCCTTGACCAACTTTAGGTCTACAACTTCAGGAAATGAATAACTTGTGAGTTCAAAGACTCAGTCTTGTTTACTCTTTGCAACTGCTGGATCAGACAGTTCCTGACTACAAGCCATGTTCCAGATAACATTATACCACTTAATACCAACATCAATACTTCAAAGAGGCACTAATTATTGCCTTCATTTTACAAATGAGGAAACCAACACTCAGACCAGATAAGTAATCTGTTATAGGGCAAACGTGGGGCTGAAACCAAACCCAGACACAAGGCCAAAGGTTAGATCTGTTTGTATTCTATTTAGTCATAACTGAGGAAGGTCTTGTTAGATAAGGACCATTTAATAAATAGCACAAACTATTCACAGTCAAATATATATTCCAAAGGGCTTAAATTTGCAAGTGTTTTTGATGACAATTGCTAGAGCTTTGCAAAGCTGGGTCTAAGCAACACAAGCAGGTCCAGTTTTGTCTATATTGTCTTTGTCAATTTCCCTGGTCATCTTCAATTTATTCAAAATTTACATTATGCAGTCAATTGATTATGATAGTTACTAAGCAGTATTAGCTCAAAGCTAAAAGTATATTATTCTCAAAAGACAAATCTCATACAGGACCTGGACTGAGCTAGGCTAAGCTCCATGGGTTACTCTTAAATGATGACTCATATTTATGTAAGGTGAACCTATCCTTATATAGCTGCTAGTTATTAAAGTTTGATCTGGATCAGATGTCCCTGGGAAATTTAGTAGTAAAAATCCAATTCACCAAGTTATAGTGTTTTTTTAATAGTCACATTTTCTTCTCACGGTTAATAATTTTAATTGAAAGAGAAAGGAAGAAAAAATTCTCAAAAAAAACATACAAAAAGCTTGTACTATCTTTCATCTGTTTTTAGTAGTATGTATATTTCTTATCATAAGCCAAACAGGAAGAGAGTGAGTCATTTTCTGAATCTGGCATGCAGTCTGCAACAACATTGATGATATAATATCAATCAGGATGATATGCTATCTTGTTATCATTATATAAATATTATTTTCTAAGCCTTAATAAGATGCTTGAGATTTTAAGATGAATGGTTTAAAAGTCTAAATCTACATTTATGCCAAATTCATAGGACATATTTGTCATAATTGTTCTTGTCCCTTGGGTCAGCAATACAGTTTATAATCATCATAAAATTTCATTCTTAATTCCTTTGCATTTATCAGAAGGAAAATATGGATGGTTATTACCCAATTAAAATACTCCTGATGCTTTTAAGGTAAATGTTATGGGGTTTTGGAGTTTCACTGAAGACAATTAAAAAGCAAAGAGCAGCTGGGTGGCTTCAAAGTGGTTGTAAGTGTACCAAGTCTGGAGCTCTTCAGCTGTTCAAGGGTGCCCTGTTCCTACCTGTCTTGTTCTTCTATCATCTGTAACTTAATCAAGAAATGATCAGAACGTTTTTCCCAGATAAAAAGTGAGGGAGCAGGTGCCTAAAGGAAGGATTTTCATTCAGAAGCTAAAGAACCCATTGCAATGTTCACACTTGGCTTACAGTTGCTCCCTTCCCCAAGCCTATAAGCAAAGCATAAATCTGGAGTCTGCTCTCTTCGCTGGATATTGTATCATTTGTCTGGAGAGGCACAAGAGGGGTGACCTTGGGATGGATGCTTTAGGAAGGCGTTTCTTGGGGTGTTTTCTCCAGGTAATTCTTATAGACTGGCTAGAAAGCAACCTTGTGGGTGCCTAGAGCTCCAGGAGAGTGGGTTCCGTTACCAAGGCTACAATTTCTTCCAGAGAAATTAAATGGGTCAAAGTGATTAATGTCCACAAAAAGAAAATGCATAAGCATCAATATTGTATTCTAATTCATTATAAAAGGATCACAAAAAAGAACTTAGGCCCACACTCCTTTTTTGAGCAAATTCAATTTCTATCTGGTTTCTTTTTAATTTCTGATCTTAAATTAGAACGAGGTTGATATTTAGTTTTATCTGTTTACAATCACGTATCCATATATCTCCCCCACCCCAAACTCAGAGCTTTGAGTGTATTAGGCAAGCACTTTATCTCTGAGTTTACATCCCAAGCCAAAATAATAATTTCATCAAGACATGCATCTAATTCTTTAAAAAGAGAGCTCCTAAAGTCCATAAGCTTCTAAGTATTTAATTAATAATTAGCTAATATTATTAACTTTTCAATGCAAAGATGACTTGTTTGTACTCTGAAAGAGGACAAGTTGAGACTTTGCACTGGGACACAAAAATTAGTGGGTGTAGTAAAGGCTATCAGTTACTTAAATACTGCGAACAGCTTACATTTGTAAGGTGTAAGTACTGGGACTTGAACTCAGGACCTTGTTTTCCTGGTTAGCCTTTTCACTCAAAGATGGTGCTCTTTAACTTGAACCACAATTTTCAGCTTTTTGGTGCTTAATTGAAGATAAGAGTCTCATGGACTTTCTTGCCTGATATGACTTTGAAACACCATCCTTAGATTTCATCGACCTGAGTAGCCAGAATTAAAGGTGTAAGCCTTCAGTGTTTAGCTTGCGATGCTATAATTTACAAAAAGTTTTGCATTGGGTTATTGTATATAAATAAATACTAAGCGCAACAATTCAAAATTGTCTCCTAACTCACTTGTGTGTGTGAGTGATGTTCTTTAAAGTAGACAAATTTTCACTAGAAACATTTGATGATAACATCTGTAGCATAAAAAATGATGAAGTGGTTATATATTTTAAAAGACATGAGTTGGCTTACTGGAGGGTTTCACCCACTGTGGCACATTTGGCACTAGTTACTGTGTGTTGCTCTGGCATGCTTTCTAATGCTTGAGCACTAGTTACTCCGGTTCTGGAAAGCTATGAATTTTGATATATTGGTCCCTCATTATGAAAGCTTACCTCTTTATGGCTTTATCCAGGTAAGTGTATGGCTTCAGGCTTTTCTTCTGGGCTCTTTGACCTAGAGGAATGAAGGTTGGAACAGGATCCACAGGCACTGACTTGCCAAAGAGAGTCTTACCCACAGCTGCAGGTAACCCTGCAGTCAGCAAGCTGGGAACTTGAGCCAGGGACCATGGAGCCACTAATAGTCTCAACTTTTAAGGAGGTTAGCCAAACAGGTGACAGACTGCTACACTTCAAAGACAGGAAATCCCTTCAAACGTTAAATTGTGAGGACACAAAATGACCTACCATCAGGAAAACAGGGCGTTAGTGATTCAACGCCATGTTTGTTCCAGTTTAACGAAGCATGTTTGGTGGATATTAATTGACCCTGACAAACAATACTCCAAGTAGATGACAGCCTTTTCCACCGGAAGCCCACATTTTCAAGATATGTATTTTTTAAAGTTACTTGAGCTCACAGCAGCATGAAGTTATTGGGTAAAGCCTTTCTCTGGACCAGTTTTTGCCCTTTAAAAAACCTAGTCTGGTTTAAAATTTTCATTTCTTTGGAATGCATAAGAAGATCCATGAAAATGTTCAAAAGTTCCTGAACATCAAAACTAAGGGAAGGTATTAACCTACAGTACAGTATTGTCAAAGGAGCAGATGGAGTGCTTAAGTCTGAATGATAGCATGGAGGACCCCTACTATCAAGGCATGGGATTCCCAATCATTTTCCCAGCTTAGAATGAAAAATCTAGATGGATCTCTTGTCATCTCCCTAAAGTCCCTAGGGCTGTGGATGTAGCAGTTTGAACCATATGTCAGTGTTAAATTCCTGTCTGATTCACTCAGAATAAAGGAAAGGCTGGGAGTGGTGATGGTGAAGGCGGTAGAGAAATGGCATCTGCTGTTTTCTCATTGCAAGGCCTCTGTTACCCCAGTACTTAGAAGAATTACTGGACAAATGTATAAGCAGGAAGGAAACGGATGACAGAAAAGCAATGCCACCTTAGAAGAAGAATAACAGGGTGTCCTTCTGGGTTTACAGTTTCAAAAAAGTGAATATCTTTAAAAAAGTTGAGATTGGAAGATTCCTGAAAAACAGAGGCTTAACCTACGTTCTGTAGTTTTATCAAATTGAACCTCTCTGAGCAAGGTCAAAGTAAGCTCTGTTTCCCGCTTACAAAGCAAGTCAACTTATTTTGGATGTGTAAGTATAAACTGTGTGCAAGTTTCCTAAGGCAGGCACTTGGGATGAATTATGAATGGAATTAGCTACCTTGACTAGGAATTTCCTCACTTTTACTGGTCTTTAGACAAGAATTTGATATTATTCATATGTAATCAATAGGACCAACAAATGAAATGCCCTTGCCATAAAACATTGTTTTAGAATGATTTTGCAGTTAAGGAAACTTAAATAGGGACTTCCAATATGAAGACGGTAGTTTTTACTTGCAAGTTTGAAACCGATCTGGAAAAGTGATGAGCTGGCCACAAGATTGCTGTCAGAAACTGAAGTTTAGTTTATATTTTGAAATACAATGTTAAATGTGTGCTTGCTTTCACAAAGCCAATCTTCTTCTCTTATTCATAGCCTTAGTCTCCATAAAAATAAATAAATTGCTATTTGGTTATTAAATTTTGAAGTTATGGGTAGAATAATTTAGGTATTCATAAATACAGAACATGAAGAAATCCTTCCAGAGTGCAAAGTACCTTAAAAATTATCATCCAAAAAATGACTTTAAGCTGGCTTAAAGTCAGCTATTAGCTATTTTATAACTTAATAAATATTCTTCTGTATTAACTTGCACTGCTTAAAAATTTTCTTACATATTATCATGTCTAAATTGATTTGAAAAGCAATTTGTGTGAAACCAGGATTAATGCCAAGTGTTAGACAGAAATGAAGTTAAATTGTTTTTTACTCCAACAACTTCAATTTATTCCATGTATATATAAAAAGGATAAATATAACATATTTAGCACTTTTCTATGCAGAAAGTGAAATCATGCAGAATCCAATTTTTTTAATCATATAGCTGATATAACTATTTGGAATATTTTTAAGGCACTGATTATGTAATTTTCAAAGTTGAAAATACAGATAAAGCAATTGTGCTTTTTAGAACACTTATGCACTTAATGATCACAGATTTCAACAGTAAAATGTGTTTACTAACTCCTTTCCAAGTCCCTCAAACATAAAAAGTAAAAAAAAAATCCTTGTATTTTCTTCATAATACAAAAAGTATCAGTGTTTTGATGAAATTTTTACACCTGATTATATCATTTCTACAAGAGAAAATAGCCTGATTTTTAAAAAATTTTTAGAAGGAGGAGGATTGGTATAGGAAAACTACTTTACATGCCCTTATGTCCATTTAAAATACATACATTTCCAAGTTTTTTGTCAAAACGTCTACTCTCATATAGATAGACTACATTTACAGGTTTGAAAATCCCCTTCTTATAAAAGTTTTTGAATGGGGCTGAATTCATCTTATTTAAAAATTTGAAATGACTGTTCCCAGTAATCCTGTCTATCTGGAGAGGTAAAAATACAGTAGTCATGTTTAATATTAAAAAAATACTTTTTTGGAGGATGGATTAATTTTTAATCTGAGGATAAAATAATCCAAGTATAAAGTTTCCTTTTGAACTTTGTAAATCAAGGAAGATAAGGTTTATCATATAATTCTTAGTGAAAAACTTTGAGTTTGAATTATTGAGAAAATCCTAGATGATAAAAAGAAGTATATCTGTAAATCCATAAACATCCCTCACCTACATTTTCAAAGGCAACATGGAGTTACCACTACAGTGGCTGTCTTTAGGGAATGGCTTAAAAGCAAGTAAGTGTGAGTGTTGACCACGGCCTCCCAAGGGCAGGCTCATGGAGTCAAATGGAATTTTGTTATTTATATAGGTTCCTTTTAATTCTGTTTCTATTAGCTTTCTAAGCCTTTGGTAGCAAATGTCAAACCACATTTAAGTTGACTTGTTAGCCATTTCTAAAGCCGGCTGTTCCTGCCTATTTCAAATTCAATGTATTGCTTTGCAAATAGCAAGAAACATTGTCATTTTAAAAAATTGTTAAGCACCTTGTTATATAGCATAATAGCATAACAAAAAGACCTACAGCGTGGAGATCTAATTCCTACCGTGAATTTCCTTTGTTTCAAGCTGAAAGTATTAAGGGAACGTTACTTATCCGGACAACTTTGGAGGCTCCATTTGCCCTTGAACCTGCTACCTTGAAATTAAATGCTTTTGTCATGGGGAAAAGTAAAAGTAAAGATGTCTTCACATGAGTAACCTATGCAACTTTCTATTGGAGACCATAGAATGGTGAGGAGTGATTTTACCTTACTTCAAGGCTTTAGTAAACTAACTGGAACTGTTTACTTTCTGGCCAAAAAACAAAAACCAAAAACACAAACCAAAAAAATGTGGCTAATTCTGAAATGCCGTTTAAAACCTTGGACATCCCTCAGGACAAATGATGCCATGCAACACGTCACTGCCCATTTATTTCCTATTTCACTAGCTTCCAATTAACACACCGACGCCGCCACCAACTCGTCAGAGGCGGCGTTGGCACCATTTTGGAACCTCAAAGCAAGACGTGGCAACTTGACTCTACCTTAAATTTAACCAACCAAAAATACTCCCACTTTTTCATCCACGGGGTACCCTAGCCAACATCTTTCTCCCCTAAAAGACGAATCCTTTCCGGACGTTTACAAACCTGAGTGGGGCTTTCGTGGGGGAGGGGAGACAAGACTTGGGTGGGAGCTGCTGGTCTCCAGCGCAGCCGGGCCGGTCTGCCGAGGCGCGGGCCACGCGTCCGAGCCATTTCCTGCCGGTTCCAGGGTCCAGCGCGAGCAGCCAGCGTGGAGAGGAAGGCGGACTCCTTTCCCAGGCGGAGGCTCCGCCACGGCCTCCGAGGGACACTCCCAAGCCGAGGGCCGCGCCAGGCCGGGGCGGCGCGGAGTGGGTACCGCGGAGTGGGGGCGGGGGGGCGCTCCCTGCCCCATCTGCGCCCCGCGGTAGCGGCTCAGAGCCAGACCCGCGGGTACGAGCCCCAGGCGGGCAGCTCAGAGTGGCAGGGGTGTGTGTAGAAGGGGGGTCCCCAGGGTAGCGAGGGACACCCCGAACGCCGTAGAGGGGGCTGGGCAAGGGAGACCTCGCGCTGGAAGCGCGGTGTCCAGTGCGGGAATGCACTTGACCCGCGACCGGGCTGTCGGAGCGCACCGGCGCCTCGCGCGGGGCTGGACGTCCCCCTCGATGGACTCGAGGCTTCTCTGGGTGGAGTGGCTAGTCCCCGGGCACTAGCCCAGGGCGGGAGGGGTAGAGCGGGGGATCCACCCTGTCCCCCCGAGGTGTAGCAGGGGCCAAAGAGAGCGCATCCCGCTCCTGGGCTCCCGATCTGAAAGCGGAGATGGAGGGCTGCCTGCGGCAAGGCTCGACTTACACTTCATTTTCTTCTGATTTGGAGAAAATGTCACAGCAGGGGGGTGGGGAGCCCTCTCACTGTAAATATGACTTGGAGGGGGGCGAGGCGAGGCGAGGCGGGCGCGGCGCGCGGCCCCGGGCGGCGTGGGCGCCCGGGCCCGGGATTCTCGGTCTCGCAGCGCGCCCTAGTGGACAGCGCGCCCCTCGCCGCCGCCCCCCGCGCGGACGCTCGCCGCGTCTCGCCGCGCTCGTTACCATCCTCTGCCGTATATTATTTCTTCCAAAGTATTGACAATGTGTGAGACTCCGGTCACCCCGGAGCTCTCGTCTGTAATCAGCACATTTATTCACATTTAGGACGAGAGGGGGAAAAAAATCCGAATTAAATCCCCGTGACCCTGCTTGGGTTACAGTGTCATTTTCCCTGGATCCTCTTTTAAATCCACTCCACACTGCTTCTCTGTCTATTACATGCTAATTTAATTTTACTGTGGACGATATTTTCAGCATTTGCTGAGGACAGTAAATTTTGTAGTTTATGTTATTTCACTTTTTATGACTTTTTAACACTTAATAAAATTTTATTAGAGCACTTTTGTGTTTACAAGGCCACAAAACTCTTGGCAGGTTGTCAGAAGTCCTTTTTATTATGATCCTACTGATATACTGCGAGTAATGAAATAATCATGTCCAGAAATGTATCAAAGGCCAGAGGGATTATCCCACTTAATAGCTCCACAGATGCGCCCAGAAGAATGCGGACCCGCGGTGGGACGGGCTGCGGGGCTGCGTGAGGACTGAGGCAGCTTCCCTCCTTTCTTTCCCATTTCAGTTGCTTTCCTAAAAGGCTACTTTCAGGGTCACGTGACTTTCCGCGGTCTCAATAAAAAAACACACACACACAGAATTTATTCTATTGCAAAATGTGCTTTTCTTTTTTATTCTCCTTGTGTGGGCATTTAAGACTGTGCTGGTGGCAGTGGGGCTGGCTCAGCATATCCGTGTCAGTCACTTTGCTCTTATTTCTAAGTGTACTTTTGTGCCATTTAAGCGGCCGATGGTGGATGGTGACACGGGTGTGGAGCCGAGCCGAGCAGCTCCTCCAGTCCTCGCTGAAGGAATTGGGAGGGACCACGAGGGCACAAGGTATTTGAAGGTTCTTCCTGTCTGCGAATCTATACTTTCTGCTGTGGCTTTTTTGGTTTTATTTTGTTTCACAAACTAGGGCATCTGTGACTTCGAGACTCTGCTTTCTGCTACCCTATGCTGCTTTTGTTTTATTTTTATTTAAAAGAAAATTTTATTTTCTGGTTAAAACTTGGGATGAGAATTAAGACATTGCAGCTTGTATTTCTTTTGTTTTTTAAGTTTCCTTTTCTTTTAAATAGATACGCCATCACTTAACACAGAGGTGTTAAGTTCATTCTTGCAGCAGAAGAAGGCCATTGTATTTCCTGACCCTGAAAGCAAGGTGGGTGGCTTTGTTTTATAAGTTAATTTTCTGTCTTTCAGCTTCATATTTATTTCTCTTTTGCTTCCTCAGTAGTGTGCCAAAGTGATATTTTAAAAAAGGCCATGAGGAATAGGCTCATAGAGGAGTAGTTTTCAAATGTCTGTTGCCACGTCCCCAACACGTGTTTGCCTAAACTTTTGGCTTTAAAAGACTTTGGCAGTGTTTTTCGTGTGTGTGTGTCTGTGTGTGTGTGTGGTGTGTGTGTGTGTATGATATGTTCCAGCTTCTTGTGTTAGGATTTTGTAATCTGTCATTGTTGAACACAACCGCTGGGAAGCGCATGCCTCTCCCTGGATTACCTCTATTACACACATGTGTGTAGCTCTCCAGCTTGCATGCACATAAGATTACTCAGGAGGGCTCTTTGACTTTAAGTTCAAGGGAGCAGGTTTGTTGTTGTTGTTTTTTTTAATATCATTTGCTATCTAACCATGAACACGGTCTGGTCTAGTATTCTGCTCTGTGACTATACTGATCTAAGTTTTGGAAAGAGCATAAAGAAGCATTACTCCCATCTTTGAGAGAGAAACAGAGAGATTGGGGGAGAGAGAGGGAATGGGAGAGGGAAAGGTACTGGAACTATTTTGGCAGCCATTTTCCCCTTTCTTTATCAGCTTTACATGTGAAAAGACAAAGCAGTTTTTCTTTTTTCTTTTTCTCAAATGATTTCTCCAGCGGTGGAAACACAGGGGAGGAAATGACACAGGGATCTAAGTAAACACTCTTCCTCCATTCCTGCTGTTATTGGTAGCTCGCTATGTTCTTTGCTGTTCATTGCAACAGGTTGAATAATTTCACAGTATTTTAAGTAAGAGAATTTATACCCAAGGGCAGGTGCATATTAATTATCTTGTTGTAAAGTGACAGTTTAATTTTACAAGTAACTTGTGTCTAGGATGACTTAAATAAAACTTTGAAAGTTGCAATAGCTATCAAGCTAAAAATCTGTTTAATTAGATAATGAAGTGAACCTGCACTGGGTTCTTGCATGTATTGAATTTGTAACTCTTACTCAAAGAGAGAGACTGGCTTACTTAAGTAGGATAACTGATGACACGGCTTGGTCCACGAGGATAGAGCTAGTGTCCACAAAGATACTTCTGTCCCTTTTGCAGTTGTCAGTGCACGAAGGAAAGGAGTCCTATCCTCTCATCCAAGGAATCCACTTCAAACAGAGGAGTCAAAGAACCAAACTCAAGGCCTGAAACTAGGCCTCCCAGATAACCACGTGGGAAAGAGTAGTCGGCCTTGGGTGATCAGCACCTTTCATAAAATACTTTGACTCAGTTCTCATTTCTTAGGTGAACTTGGACCTTTGTGACCAGTTTATTCCTCTACAAAATGGTGCTGAGGGACAAAGAGTTAATCTCTATGACATAATTAAAACAGATCTTACATACTGCTGAAAACAAACCTGAAGCACTGGCTGACTCCCATCAAGTGACAAAGGGCACAAAGCAAGTTAGTAGACTTTGGGTGGATGAATGTTGAGCCAATACTACCCCACTGGCTGCCTGGTGGGATCAGGTGTAGACCGTAAGGGAAATAAGGTGCTATCAGCCTTCTTGGGTTTGGACTTGACTCTCTTGAAAATGGTCAACCCCAAGAGGGGTTGTGTCCTACTGCTGTTCTGTTTTATTCTTTGGGTTTCTTTGCAGCTATTGTTGTTGTTGTTGTTAGCTGTGTAAAGAGATTACAATTCCATAAGTCAGGTCATAAGGACAATGCTTCTTGATCAGTGCCACTTCTTCCACCATTTCCCCCCATTTCCTCCCTTACTCGTACCCTCAAGAGTCTAAAATTTTTTGAGTCTTCAAACTGTTGTGTACAATTCTTTACACATAACAGATAACTTAGACAAACAAATATGCTACATATACTACAGCACTATATTATGATCTGTTGTTAAATACTCAGTAGTTTCAAGTACCATGCTAAATTCTTTACATACATTGTTTCACTCCATGCTCACACTGACCATACAGGTAGTTATCTCACAACCTATTCTACAGGTAAGGATTATGAGGCTCAGAGAAGTTGAGAGTGGCTAGTGGCTAGAGAGAGCTAGTAAAGGATGTGGACATTTAGCCAATGTCTATGGGAATGGAAAAGTATGCAATTGGCACTATCTTTACTATTTCCTCCATATGTTTGGCTTCCTAGAGCCTCTAACCTCTAACAGTGCAATTACTGTGTAAACCATGAGGAAAACGGATATGGGTAGGCCCTCAGCTTGTTAGGTGTGACTCATCATAAAGCTTGAACAGACTGGATTGTCTTCTTGCCTAATCTCAGCTCATTCCACTACAACAAGGCAATGTTCAGAAGGAGTCAGAGAAGTCAGAGGTACTTTTTCCTTCCTTTGAAAACTATGATTATGCTGAATTTACTTCAACTAATTTCAAAACATCTAGGGAACAGACTTATATGGGCATTAAAGACTCAGAAATCATTACTCAGACAAATGAGTGCCCGAACCATTAATTTTAACTCAAAGATCTTTAGGAACTTTAAAGATCATCATTCTGTCAAGGTACTTGATTATGTTCTGACCATTTCAGGAAAGGAAGAGTACCTTGGAGAGCTAGAAGGTCTGGTACATGCACAAGGTTATTTTGTGAGTAAACAGGAGTCATATAGGACTGCTTTGCCTGAACCACACAAGGAATTCTACACCTAGAACCCCCAAGAAGGAAACTAGGAAGCCCAGGAGTTTTCCTAAAGAATGGTTCAGTAACCTCTTAGTAAAAAAGATTAAATCCATCTCAAAAATTTCATAAATGGGTGAGGAAAGAAAGATGAAAGCCAAGGCAATGACAGCTATCTAGTAAATTCTTGCTTTTCCTGAGAAGATAGGACTCTGTCCTAGGTGGGCTAAGACTCCAGCCATCACCAAAACAAGTAGAATTAATCTTTGACTTGTGACTGGTAGAAAGAAGGGAGCGAAAGGGAGAGGAAATGAGGTCTATTTCCAAAGAACTTGATCAACCCCACAGAGCTCAGGCTCACTGCACAAATCCAAAAGCAGCGTATTCAAAGCTGGGAACCTAGGGTAGCACCAGGATTTGGTGGCCTTGCTGGGAAAGACTGGTTTTCTATTTCTCCACATGTATGACTTTGCATTCTTGATTCAATTAAACCCTTCTGTTCTGTCTCTGGGTTGTCCTTTATTGAGAGAGAAAAGAAATCAGATTTTTTTGACTCATATTTTGAGGTTTTTGGGAAATAAAGATGTACTTAGAGTTAGCTGTGAGCTCATTGGTATGAGGTCTGAACATTTTTAAAAATAATGAACATATTATCTAGATGAATAATTGGTGAGAAGAAAAGAAAACTAAAATGCAGCAGTAACAGCTAAACCCAATCCCATTCAAATAAAACTGTAGGGTCACGAACATTAAGCCTGAGATTAGAAATCTCTAGAAAGAACGTAGAGTAAAGAGGTGTTCACCTCATATTTCAGCAGATATAATTTTAAGCCATCGAAAAGTTTTAAAGATCTTGAGCCATTTTCTTCAAATCTGACTTGCCTTTCTTTCTGCATCTCTTTCTTTCTGCATCTGTGAATTTGCCAAGTTAAATTTTATTGCTAGAACAGGCTTTGAATGATAGTGCCTATCTTTGAAAAAGGTCTGAGTACTTTTTGATTATTTGATGGAAAAAAATGCATGCTTTCCCCTTTTTATGCACCTTTCAAACCAACTGCTCTGATATAAATAAAGTCTTTTAAAAATGTACTCAACTCACCCTTTCCAGAATAAGACCAAGCATTTCTTACCATGAAAGTCATGAATGATCCCTGGAAGGACATTATGAATGAAATAATATCTTAGCTTTTATCTAAACAGCCAGCTCTCAGATCATACCATTCCTGAAAGTTTCAGAATCTAGAATAAATGCATTGATCCGCAAGGCAAAAATACAAAACCATGGCCAATAAAGCAGCAAGCCCAGCCGGCTGGCTTCCAGGACAGGAAGCCACTAGAATCTGGTTGCTAGGAGACACTTGTCTTTCTCTGGCAGCAGGAAGATGTCCTTGAGCATGGCTTCCCCTGTGGTTGGCTTTGGACAAGCTGTGAATCAGACTCTCTTCTCTAGCACAGTCCTCCAAGCAGGATCAATCAGCCCACAGAACAGGTGTTACCGAGGGGGCAATGGTGGGAAAGTTTCTCACACAATGGTGGGCAAGTTTCTCTTATTTTGCTGATGTACATATCTGATACCAATATGCATTTGATATGTATACTCTGGATAATTAGCATATGGATAAATACCTTCTGGTATGGTAACAATTAAATGGTACAAAATAAAATCACACTCTTAGTTCTTCAAAAGGACTATAGGGGAAAAGAGAAGAGTGAGATAATTCACAGGTGGTAATGAGAAGGGATTTTCAGGCCTGGGAATGCTATGTCTGCCATGGAAGCTCTCTTAGAGGGCCCAAGAGAACTTGGAGGCATGGACTTGGCTTTCTGGCTCATGGAGGCATCCCCAGCCCCTGGGACAGTGTTTGGCCAAGAGCATGTGCTCAGTGTCCAAGGACTGGAAGGTGTAGGAGAAGGAAGGTGCTGGATAAGTGTCTGGGCTTGATCATTATTGGTATTCCAGAGGAAAGCCTGATAAAGCACAGAAACTAGTGTAGGCTGGCTTTTTATCTGACGATCTCTATCTGAAATTAGTAAGAAACTAGGCTGGCTAGACAAGGTACAGCCTGGCTATGAAGTTCTCAAAGAAGAAAAAGAAAAGCAATCTGAAAATGAGTGCCTTAAAAAAAAAATTGGGAGCCATGATGCAAATCAAGAAGAGACTGAAGTTCAGTGTCTGACAAATGCTCTTTCAAATATATCATTTGTGGAAGTGGTGCTGTGGCTCAAAGTGGTAGAACACTAGCCTTGAGCAAAAGAGCTTAGGGATGGTACCCAGGCCCTGAGTTCAAGCCCCACGACTAACCAAATTAA